AAAGGCATAATTGATTCTTCTCAATTCTTGGTTCCCATAATTCTAATAGATTCTTCATAGACGGCAGAAGTAAAATGCAGCTAGTGATAAGTACTTGACATTTGGACTTGTATGACTGGATTTTATCATATTTACGTTTTCATTGTAGAATTATGGCATTCAGAAATAATAACAATTTAAAACTAAATTTGTAAATGAAATTTGAAGAACTTACGCTTTATTTTGATGTACGTATGGATGCATACGACCAAAAATTAAGAATAGTTAGAAGAATTTATAAATTTATGCCATTCTCGTTTTTAAATAAGAAACAATATTTAAAGCCATAACATTTCTCAACGCGTAATTTCCTATAAAGGTAACAGTGATGAAGTCAGTGCAGTCAGATTTATCTGCAGTTTCGAAAGAGACTAACCGTTCAAGCATAAAAATTACCATAAAATTACGATATTTTTACTAAATACTTTCGACGAGTCTAAGTTCTGAGGTCGGAAATTCGTCAGAATACTTGAAGAAATAATGAAATATTAGAATTTATAAACATATTTGCATCTTTTAAATAAAAGTTTCCCTGTTTACATTAGTGTACTCAATATGTATCTAATGTTCCAAAAATACATGACCGGTGAATTCTAAAATAACTTACTGGAAACAAGCTCAGATTACAAGAAGCGAATGCTAAAATTATCATAATGAAATAGGTCCAAAAATCAAAAATTCAATCTGAGATCTAAAAATGTTATCGAATATATGTGCAAAACTTTAGAGGTTATTCAAATTTTCAGATGTGAGATAAAATCAAAGATTACAAGAATATTTTATATTTAAATATATTTTATACCATGCAGTTCAAATGTTTTACTTAGTATCACAAAATAGCTGAAATTTAGCCGCGTTGATTTTAATCAACATAAAATCTACATGCAATCCTTTTGGCTAAGATCATAAGTCTTCCTCCTAATATTCAAGAACTTGAAAATATAAAAACATAATTTGATATATTATGAGAGCATATCTTTTTTTGCCTTTATTGTTAAAATTTAATTCACAATGTTTGTTAAAATTTAATTCACTTATCTCCAAAATGCCTGATTACTTTACCACGGTTTTTATTCTTTTATTAGCCCGCGGAAATTGAAATTCAGACTGAAATTGATTGTCAATACCAGTGGAAAATTGGATATTTTTGTTTCTTTCAATCTTTGATTGATTTTTTTAATAACCGAAAACTAAAACTAGGCTGCAATTGTGAGGAAAAAATAATTCATGAAATATACATATTAATTGAATTAACTGGTATTGCCATTCGTGACATTTTCATTTTTTATTCATTAAGAAAAATCATCCACACATTTGCCTTGTTACTCAAAATTAGAAGAAAATGCAGTTATACGTTTGTGTTGAAAACCATGCAATGCGCTTTTATAAAGTTATTCCCAGTGTCAAAATTAAACCTCTATTCAAGACATGGGTTTAAAAATTATAGAATTCCGATCTTTGCGCCGATAGCTAATAAAACATTTCAATAATTACATCATAATTATATTAAATAATTTTAACGGCAATGTATTATATTTATCATCTTGAAAGTTAATAATGTTTCAAGAAGAAATATTACTTTAAAAATGTTTGCATATTTTAACAAAAATCAGCTCTATTATTATTATATACTGAATTCTAAAGAAACCTTTGTTCTCATTAGCTATGTTTTTAAGCTCTTTCAACAGTAAAATTAACACACCCACTGAAAAGCGCTTCTTGTACCCTAATGTTGCTGCTTTAAATTTGGAATGAATATTCAACATTTTAAATAGTGCTGTAATTAAAGCTGCTTATTTCTGAAACGTTTCGTCTAATCACTGTTCCTCTCGAATACGTATGTATAATTTTGCCTAAGATGTCATTTCTCAAATTTATGTATAATTTTGCCTAAGATGTATAATTTTGCCTAAGATGTCATTTCTCAAATTACAAATGGTACCCTCTTGCAGCGATTTTAGTTTACCCTCAAAGTTTTATTGTTCTATTTTAACAGTCTGAAAGCACAATAAACTATTAGTAAAACATCAGAAGATTTTCTTAAGAATACTATTAAAGTGCATAGATATAATACCTATATTGTAGTTCTTTAGAGAGATTTAGAGATGTGTTGTATTTGAATTCATGATTAGTTAATTTATAAGATGGAGCAATAATATGTCTGCTTCTGTGAATGAATAACTGGAATTTTTCTTTCAACACAGAAATTAAAATCTGTCTTGATGACAGAAATGTTTGATATAAACATGTTTTCGCGTTTTTAGCTTAACTTCTCCATTATAGTTGAAACAAGTAGGTAAAACTGCTGATCTGGAAAATCCAGGTTATTTTTATCTTTCATGGAAATCTTGCTTCTTTATTTTACAAGTAAGTGAGCTGTTTAATGCATATATTATACGGAGAAAAATTATTCACTCTAATTCTCGCCATAGAAATGTTATAAACATGTGCCACATTCTTAAAAACTTAACGAAAAATAATGGCTAAAGTAAACAAAACTTTTAAGAAGGAAACAGATTCAGAATTTTGAATAAAAATAATTTGTTGATTCTGAAATTAAAAAAATAGATATATTTATTTTATTCATCCTAATCGCTGTCGAATTAGTTGAAACTAAAATGAAGCATCGCTAAACGCAGGAAATCATATAAAGGAAACTGATATGCTTAGTAATGTATACAGGTTTGGTGGGATCACTTAATAAGTTTTATGTGCTAATATCGTTTTTCTTGCACTATTCAAGCTGCTAGGGAAAAGAATTTAAAAGATGCAAAATCATACCTCACGTAAGTGGAAATTTTGGTTCAGCTTTTCACTAGAAATATATACAAATGAAAATCTTATTTTTGCTATCTCTGCGAAAATTATCTGTGGATGATGATTTGTTAATCAAAAGTCGATAACGATTCAAACAATTTTCTTTAAAGAAATGGGGTTCCACACGTGGCTGAATGGTGAGGACCTCTGAATGTTGGCCGTTGAACCTGGATTCGAATTCAGAAAACGGGCTTTCATGGTGAAGTATCATGATTTTACTCATGTGCAACATGAATACGAATCAGTTTTATTTAAAATGGTCCTCCATAAAGGCAATCCTCCATAAGAGCTCTCTTTAGGTAGGGAGCCCAAGCGTGCTTTGTCATATTCAGCTATCTAACATAAACTTAAAACTGAGGTGATTCAGTATCAAAATAGTAATTTTATTCACCTGAAATATTCGATAGCATACGAAAATCCAAACATATATTGCTTCTGTATTAAGAATAAAATTAAAGGATTCAAAAATCCGATTAACAATTTTATCGCAATTTAAAAACCAGTACATTTAAAAGTAACACCTTGTAAGTGAGCTGTTAATACATTCATCACATATATCATATGGAGAGAATTACTTACACTAATTTTCTCCACAGAAATGTGATAAAATGTGTCACATTCTCAAAAGCATGGCGAAAATGAGTGTCTAAAATAAATAAAACTTTAAAAAAGGAAACAGGTCCAGACAACAACGAAACAACATGAGCATTAACAAAAATAATTTGTTAATGCTCAGTTTTTAATACTTATTTTATTGATTCTAACAGCTGTCCAATTTGCTGACACACAAGAGAAGCATCGATAAACGCAAGAAATCATAAAAAGAAAACTGATATGCTTAGTATAAATTGCCATGTATACATCTTTAATGAAATAACTAAATAAATTTGATGTGTGAATATCGTATTTATTGCACTATTCAAGCCAGTAAAAAGAAAATTTAAAATATGCAGAAAAATAGCTGATGTTAGAAACGTCTATAGTCTTGACATCATGTTACCACAGCACTAACTAACCTCGCGAACTGGAAAACTTATACTTCTCAACGTAATCATTTTATTCTAATGTAGATATTTTATAATATTTTTCTCAACTATTTTACGAACACGTACATAATTTATGTCATTAGAGAAAGAATTTTTATTCTCTCACAGACTATATACTCTGTAACAGAATAGTCATGGCGTGATTGCTAATTTGCTACTCTAGAGACTTTCTATGGTTTCTAAGTTTCTATGGTTAAAATTGGTATTGCTTATACAATTTAAAAATATGAAGGAATACAGCATATATGTTGCAGGTTTTTTAATGATAATTTAATCACTGTAATTTAAAAAAAATGTCAAAACGAAAAATCTAAGTAATCGTACAGTAGTATCTGTGGATAAGGCTTCCTTATGATATATGTAGGTCTATCTAGATGTCCTTATGTATCTTCCTTATGTAGGTCTATCTAGACACTTTTACCTCAAACTTTATTGCACAAAGCTAATAATGAATAATAAAGAATAATTTTTAGGTTCTGAATATCATAACAACAGCTTTTCATAATTTGATTCAGCGTTCTTATATTTATTTACTTAATAATACCGAACTAAAGTGACAGTACATTCAATTTATTAGTTTCATGCATCTATAAAATAGACTGATTTCTGAAAAATTCTCTAATAAACATAACCGATAGGATGTTGTCGCTTTGCTAATCTTATAATCGATAGAATCTTAAATAAAATCTACGCCAAATACAAGGTGGTTTCTTTGCCTTATTTTATTCAAACGTAATTATATTTGGATATAGAAAATTAACAAACATTTTATAAAAAAATTTTGGTATAATTTAAGGTATTATCAGAAATGGTGTATTCTCGCAAGCAAACAAATGTTGGCCATACTAAATTTCTTACTGCGTGGAAGATTCCCATTAGGAATTACCCTCGTAAAGGACTAAAAAAAGTGAATGGTTTTGATCAAGTAATTTATTTCCTTGCGCTGTATGTAAGTATATATACAGGTGTGTGCGTGCGGTTTGAATGCGTATGCCTTGGTACTCTGTGGTTGTATGTTCATTTTCCTTTGTTTCAACAGAAAAAATTCACAGATATTGTACTTTTAACAATTATCTACTACTGTTTTAAAATTCTTACCATCGGTACCATTAGTGCCCGGTTTTCCTGGTGTACCTGGAATACCAGGAATGCCATCTCTTCCGGGTATACCATCGATGCCAACTCCATCCAGTCCGGGTTCGCCTGGTATGCCATCACGACCGTCCAATCCATCTATTCCTGGCTTTCCATATTCACCTAATAGCAATAGTGAAAGTACTTAAAAATCATATTCTCATATTTGAAAGCATTTAATATATATACGTATTCACGTAATATATATACATGTTTACGTATACATATACCTATTGAAGAAATTCATAAATTTACGTAACAAATAAAATTATAACAAGAGCCTGACTGAATTGGTAGTCTTACTCTTCATATATTTCAAATATACTTAAGTAAATTTCTTTGATGCGAAAAGTAAAGAGACAAACAAGCAGAAAATTTTATAATTCTAAAACTATTATGATGCAAAACAATATGGTTAAAAAACAGAAAAAAAAAGCGGAGAAACCATATTATTTCGCAGTTTTAAAAGAGAGTCAATCAAATACCAAGATATGAAATAATGTAACTTGAATGTATCAAGTGAGAAAAGCATTGTAGAACTCTACATTATATGAACCTAGAAATTCAGAATTCTCTTGAACAATGAACATTTTAATGTTTTTCTATTGGCGTAGTCCTTCATAACTATCTAATTAAATGCACATTTTGCAACCTCTACATCATATGCAATTGTATGGTTTAATACCAATTTTTGTATTCGCATCTCTTCTTTGTTGCTTACTTTGTCAGCACGAGTGCATTCCCATGACTTGTAGAGGCATTAGGATATTTTTGGAAGCAAGAAAGATGAAAAATAGCAAACGCCTTCGCCAATTCTTAATGTTAAATTTTTAATAACTATAACTCATAAATACATACAGTGAAAAACCTAGTTTCCTACATATCTAATTTTAGAGGCAACAGATATAATGAAATAATACTTTGCAAAAATATAATTGAAATTAAAAAACACGCAAGTACAGTAAATACATTACTCGTTCCGGATGTCATTATAAATATTATGTATCTGTTAACAAGGAGTTTTTCAAAAATATTTTATTCACCTTTTGGACCAATAGGTCCTGGGATCCCAGGGAATCCTTGTGGACCTCTAGATCCAGGTTCCCCTGGTAATCCTCGATCTCCCCGGTCTCCTTTATCGCCTTTAAATCCAGGAGATCCTGTAAAAAGCAAAACACAAAAAATGTGACATTTTTAAATCTGAATTGAAACATTCATACATCTCATTAATATTCGCCATGTTTGACTTCAGAAATCTAAAAAGCAATTTACTTTCTAACAAAAACTTGAAATTGTATAGGTTATAATTAGGTTAATTAACTAAGATAAAGTAAACTGTTAACCGATCATTTATAAGCTGGTATTGAGTACTTTACTAAATATAGATTTGCTATATTTCGTTTTGCAATTTTTAAAATATACTGTGAATAAACTGTTTGCTTAAAAACCTAATAACGTCACATTATAATTATAAGACAGTAATGATAAAATATAAAAACAGGAAAGAAAATTTTAACATTCCCTCTTTACACAGTCGAAATATGTGAAAATATCATTACAATCGCAAAGGAAAAGTCTCACTAAAATATTTCTCTGAAAATAAATTTCCGGGACTGAAATCAAATACTCGAATAATACATCGAAATTATAGTAAAAATCAAACTGACCGGATTGACCTAATTCAAATACCACTATTGCTTATGTACACTAGTGTGCAAAACTTAAGCAACAAATTCATTTTTCAACATACAACCATGAAAGTTTTGAAAAGAGCTTTTGCGATAAGTTCAGTAAAAAATTAACTCAGTATAAAGGTGATGCATATGCAAATATCAGAACCACGACATCAGAGGTACGTCAAGGCATGCAAAACGCTAGGAGTGAAAGCGTTCATTGCAGGTTTTCCGGTCAAGAAAGGAAGGCATACTTCCAGGCATTCTTCTGCAAGCGAAAGGGAGATTGTACAAGCAGTATGGCTACAGGGACTCCTTTACATGAGGTAGAAGAACTGGCAAGCTTAAAAAGAGATGCGTAGTTTGACGTCTGTCGCACAAAAGTGAGTGCGTGAGTGACGGGAGATATGGGCACCATTCCTCTACCACTGTGGTTAATCGGTTGAGTGCCACATCCACCATTCACCATTGTGTCGCATAAGAATTTGGAACTGATAAAAGTGTTATTTCACGTGCTTGGAAAACCTTCCAAACGACAGGTATAGTTGAAAGAAAGGTTGATGGTCGTCGGCCACGGAAAACAACGGTATGGATGCATAGTCTTACAGGGTAAATGAGATTGAAACGAGACATGGGGCAATATTGCTCAGCAGTTGCTCACGACAACCGGAGTACATGTGTCCTTTTAATGTGGCCAGATAATTCATAAAAGTGGCATATTAACCCGCAGTCCTGAACGCTGAATACCACTGATAGCATCGTTTACAATGATGCAGACAACACAAATACTGGACATTTCATCAATGAAATCACGTCCTCTTTAGCGATGCGAATCGTTTTAGCCAGACAAAGGATTCTCGATGTTAGTTGATACGAAGAGTGGCATGGGGAGGCATAATGGTGAACAGACAGATATTTTCCAGAGAAGTTCAATTCCCGGAGATCGTTACTGTGATGAAGATATCCTTCTCTACGCGCTCATTTTCCAGGGTGCCACTGATCTTGACTTTGTTTTTATGGATGACAATTCACGGCCACATACGATTCATGCTGTTGAAGAGCTTCTGAAAAGTAAAGATATGAAAATAATGGATTGGCCAGTGTGCTACCAGTGTGCTAATGATTTAAATCTCACTGAATGTGACTGGTATACTTAAACATGCTCCTGGTGGCACGATCTCACCTTCCAGGGAGCACTAGAAACTGAAAGAGGTGCTGTTTGAAGAATAAAGCACTTACCTCATGAACTGTTATATAATCTGGTATTGAATATCGACAGAAGGTGCAGCACAATCATTGCAGTTAGGAAAAATCATATTGCTGACTAAGGCTCTTTGGTTTGCTGTTCTTTCTCGCAAAGTCTTTTGTGCCAACGCTGTTCTGCCAATAAAGTCTTTTTATATTTAATCCGTACTATGTGCGTCCAATTTTGTTTTTGCTGTGATACATTCTTCCTCCTTTAAATACTACGCTGTGCCTCTTTTGCATGAATTTCATGCCTCGTAACTGATATTTTGCGGAGTTACAACCCAAATCAGAAAAGTTGCTTAAGTTTTGCACTCTAGGGTAGTAATAGGAAATGGAAAAAGAATCCAGAAATACTTACCATAATTAGTTTTTGAATTTAGTGGCTAATTAACAGACATACTTTATTGATAACTCACTATTCATTCTTAAAATAAAATATGACATATTTCTTTTTCTTAGATATACGAAAAGCACTACTGTTTATAATGTCATATACCCAACAGCATAAAAAGGATTACTATGGATACTGTTGATATAATCAATTTCTAAGAAGGAAACACAAGAATTAAAAATTTCTCCTTAGTGCAGAAGCTTCTTAAATGTCTAATAACTTCTTGGGGATTTAAGATACAATGTGTGTCCCGACAAAAGCGCCTAATTTAATATGCACACCAAAGTACTTCATGTTTTTTAATGAAATACATTTTTGCGTATGTACCAAAGGTAAATGTTCCGATTTAATAATGAAAAATAATGTTCTTCACTGCTGAATTTCCTCTTTCTTTCGCTGTTAATCTTCCTAGCCTTAGATTAGATGTTCAGATTATTTGGGACTTCTGATAACACTGTCACGCACACTAGCGATGTTTTCAACAGACTGGGTGGACCAAGCGTGTGGGATTTAAGTCTGCAGTTGAACCTGAGCCCTCAGATTTCTTTGTCAATGTGTTAACTCTTGTTTTATTAGATGCATTTTCACGTTCAAAGATTGTGCAAAACTTCCTAATGATGTAAACATTGTCCATTCTTGTAATGAGTTTTCACAATCAAAACTTGATGTTTCTTTGCACAAACCTCCACGTCAACTACCACGTCAACCACACAACGTTGCGATGAAGCGGCGAAAAGAACCGAAAGAGATAAAATACCAGTTTTGACAAGTCAAATCAAATTCAACCTTCTTTAATCGGAGCATTTCCCTTATTTAGGCATGTAAAAAAATGTTCTACTTTCTAAAATTAAAGTATTTTAGGGGGCATATTAAATCTGGCGTTTTTGTTGAAACACCTAATAATATTATAATTTCAGGCAATCGAATAATATTTTGAATGGTTAGAAATCAGATGAGTAATCCGAACTGCATAAACCATAGATTAAAATAAATTACATTCAACTTAATTCAAAACTTAAATGTACTTAAACCATCACCTCCGTTTGATGAATATTTAAATTTATATCATTTGAAAAATACTAGTCGTTGCCACATATTCTATTCACATACTATAATAAATCTAGAACGTTGTGTAAGATAAATTAAGCAAAAAAAAAAAAAAAAAGAAACAGTTTCTTTCACAGATGATTTATTATTTCTCAATCAATTAATTTAGTACTCAATTCGTGACAAGGCAAAAATACATAAAAACTCAAAATATCTGTATTGAAAATTAGGAAGTAAATCTTACACACTTATTTCGTCGAAAAAATTCCAGAATGGATTAAGCATGATTTAATTCGCAATAATAAATGAAGGCGTTATCTTTGTTGTTGCAAAGCTTAGTCTCTCTAGATTGGCAACGAATCTACTATACTGCTGTTTCAAATGTAAACAAATATGTCCGCCATGTTATTTAAACATTAGTCTTAACTTCACTTAAACAGCTTTTAAATTGTTGATAGTTGTACAAATATTGTTTGCAGATTTACTAAAGGCGTAAAAACCTTAACCAAAAGATAAGAATAACATAATTCAATCATTTTTAAAGCAAAAAATGCATAATTTACAAACATATAAGAGTAAAGAAACTGATCACTGAGCCGGGTAACAGAGTGGATATATATATAAATATATTTATATACGTTTGCTGCAACCAAACCCCACCAAAGTCAGTTGGGTGGATTTTAAATATCTTCTTGATAATAATACTCAGCTACGACTAAAATGACCACCACCAATTTAATTGAAGAAGCCACTGATAAATTTAATGCTAAAATCATTGAAGCCATAAATAAAGCTACTTTAAATACTGAGAAAAAAGATTATTCGCTTCCTCATTACATTAAAGAAGAAATTAAGAATAAAAAATAGGCTCAGGAAAATAAGGCTGAGAACCAGATATCCCAGAGACAACATTAAATTATAAACGCGCCTATTATCGTGCACAGAAGCTCTGTGCAGATCACAAGCAAGACAGATGGAACAGTTATGTAGAAAATCTTTCTCATACTGACCATTCTGTATGGAAACTTGCCAGAAAACTCAGAAATCCCAATAATAAAATAGGGCCTATAGAGCACAACAACAAATCTATTCATCATCCTGCTGATATTGCAAATACCTTTGCTGATGCTTTTGAGGAGCAATTTCAGATAAACAACCTCCCACACCCTTCTGATATTAATATTGAAGAACATGTCAAAAATTTCATTCATTCCAATAGGAGTAAAGCCAATACCCCTACCAGTCCCACTGAAGTCAATCAAATCATCAAATCTCTGGATCCAAAGAATGCCTGTGGCTATGATAATATTACCAATAATGCCATAAAAAAAACCTACCTAAAAAAGCAGTTATTTATCTTGTTAATCTCTTCAACGCATGTCTGCGAAATAACTACATTCCATAGACCTGGAAGATTGCAACAATTATTGTTATTAAAAAACCAGGAAAAGAAAGTAAATATACTGCTAGCTATAGACCAATCTCTCTACTTCCTTCAATTTCCAAAATATTTGAGAAAATAATTCAAAAGAGGCTTTATCAATATGCGCAAGATAAAAACATCATATCTCCCATCAATTTGGTTTTCGCAAGAAATACTCTACCATCCATCAGGTCTCCCGCATCGTGGAAAAGATAGGGGAAGCTTTCAACAAAAAAGAAACTGTTGCCGCTCTTTTCCTCGATGTGGAAAAGGCATTCGATAAAGTCTGGCACACTGGATTAATTTATAAGCTTATATATTACAATTTTCCCACTGAAATTATCATACCTTTTCATAACTACCTGTCAAATAGGTTTT